TCCCAAGACCTCATGCAGTGTCTTCGAAGCTGGTAGGCTGGGTGCTCCTGTCCAACTGCCACTTGATGCAGCCCCGCGCTCAGAGCCCGCTTTTAATGGACCCTAAGTCAGCTCTGTTTGCTTAGGAAGGGTTTTGGGTGGTGTTCTCGCTGGGTGTAGGAAAGGGGCCAGTTAGGCCAGTTGGGGGGGGTTCAGACTTCTATTGGCCGTCAGGTAAGCAAGTCCAGAACAATTTCCGGCTTCAGGGTGGTATACGGCTTAGGTTGAGGGTTTTGGGGTTTAGGGCTTTGGGGTTTAGGGTTTAGGGTTTAGGGTTTAGAGTTTAGGGTTTAGGGCCGCTGGGTGTGGGGGCTGGAGGCCCCGCCGCTCCGACATTTCGAGCCATGATGGTACCTCCTAGACCCTTAATGCTGCCGATACTGACCTGAACGAACCGAAACCCTAAACTCTAACCCTAAACCCTAAACCCTAAACCCTAAACCCTAAACCCTAAACCCTGAACCCTGAACCCTGAACCCTGAACCCTGAACCCTAACCCCTAAACCCCTAAACCCCTAAACCCTTCAGCCACAGCCCTTAGTCTTGAGAATTTCTTCGTAGGCCGTCGTAGTGCTTGAGCCCCAAGCCCATGCCCAAGACCCCATTATTTGAGGCTTCTTCATCTGTTTTTGGGTCACAGACCCGGTTTTTTGCAGTCTGGGGCCCTTAGGGATATGTGCAAAACCTTCAACCCTAAACCCCAAACCTTAAATTCGTTGCATGACTTGAATATGAAGGAACAGCAGAGATGCATGTCCCCAGGCGACTTGAGACCTAAACCCTAAACCCTAAACCCTAAACCCTAAACCCTAAACCCTAAACCCTAAATACCCTAAACCTCCCCCGAGGTCCTGGATGTCCACGCTGGAAGCCATCGTAGCGGTCTTATCGTTGGCCTTAGGTTGGTTTTTTTTGGGTTGCTTTGGGTGGTTGAAAGGTTTAAGGGTTTAGGGTTTAGGGTTTAGGGTTTAGGATATAGGGCTTAGGGTTTAGGGCGGGTTTTTTGAGGGTTGAAGGACTTGGAGGCCTTGGCTTTGTAGGCTAGGCCGTAGGACCACATGCTTTGGGGCTTAGCGTTGTGACTTTTTTGTTGGTCCTTTTTGTTGTTTTCCGGCGTTTTTAAGAGGGACTTCTATAGCGTTCTGAACTCAACTTTGCATCCTGGTCTGAAAATTCCACTTCCCCCCCCCCCCCCCCCCCCCCCGCGGGTTCATATCACTGTTGCTGGTGAGTGGATATATGATGGTTCCTCACAAATATTGGTGAGTGTATGCATGAGCTGTGGAAATTCGCCTTGTTTGGTCCGTGGTGCTTCTAGGATTTTTGCAGGGGCGCTGATATTCCCTTTTTAAGCGTTCAATTCCCTCCTAAACGCGCTCCTATACCCTAAACCCTAAACCCTAAACCTTAACCCCTAAACCCTAAACCCTAAACTCTAGGGTGGGGTGAGGGCTTTAGGGGTTAGGGGTTTGGGCACCATTACCCTTCAAGCCCCCGGAGCCTTGCGTCCCGAGGTGGAGTCGCTCGACCCGGAGCGCACCGGTGCAGCTTTAGGGTTTAGGGTTTAGGGTTTAGGGTTTAGGGTTTAGGGTTTAGGGTTTCCGGCACTCAGTCATCCTTGAAATTCACATCTATCTTCGTGGAAGCTCAGTAGAAAGGACTTGGGGATGTTTGGGGTTAAAGCTTGGAGGTTGGGGATATTGTTTCGATCTGGCTGAGGCCCTCCAAACTTGCCCCCTTTGACGAGGTAGCCTTTTGCAAGGGATCCCCCCCGTAAACCCTAAACCCTAAGCCCCCTTTTCCCACAGCTGCCTTGCCTCGCCTCCAAGGCCAATGCGCAGCCCCTTAAAGCCATCAAAACACCCCAAAACCCCAAAAAGCCCTCAGAACCCTTACGTAGCCCCAAACCCCTAAAGCCCCGAAAGCCCTTAGAACCCTAAACCCCCCCCCCCCCTTAAACACACCCTATCCCTAAAACCTGAACCCTAAACCCTAAACCCTAAACCCCAAGCAAAAACCTAGAAGCCCTCTTCAAAGGCAGAATCCCTCGAGCTGCCATCTGCCGGAAGGAGACCATGTCCAACAACTTCCGTCTGTGGCTCACGTCCATGCCGGCCAAGACGTTCCCGGTTCAGGCGCTCTTGTGTTAAGGGTTTCGGTTTAGGGTTTAGGGTTCGGGTTTAGGGTTTAGGGTTTAGGGCTTGGGGTTTCTGGGGGGGTTGAGGGGTTTAAGGGTTTGGGTGTAGGTGTTTTTGGGCTTGAGGGGTTGAAGGGCTTGGGGGGTTCCGGGGAAATTTTCGGGTTGAGGGTTTGAGGGTTCGGGGGCTTGTAGAGAGCTCGGGGTACAAGAAGCTTGTGCCAAACAAAGCGTTAGGGTATAGGATTCCAGACTGGACTTTAGGGCGGGCGTACCAGGGTTTACACAAGCTTGAGGGTTTGGTAGGGTCTGTACAAGCTCTTGATTTTCATATAAGGTTTGTACCCTAAGCCCAAAGCTCTCAACCCTAAGCCTTAACTAAACTCTTCATCCCATCGTCCGGACGGCTTAGACTGGGACCCAGAGTAGGCCCTTGTTCCCTTTCTGTTGGGGTTTCGGTTCCCTTAGAAACCACTTTAAGCCATACTCTTGTTCTACTACTAGTAGTAGTAGTAGTAATAATAATAGTAGGAGACCCAGAGGTTATGTCCGGCTCATTGGCGCAGGTTGGGAAGGTTGCTCTGTTTCGAAGGTGTTTCTAAGGGTCAACTCCTGGGCCCTGAACCCTAAACCCTAAACCCTAAACCCTAAACCCTAAACCCTAAACCCTAAACCCTAAACCCTAAACCCTAAACCCTAAACCCTAAACCCTAAACCCTAAACCCTAAACCCTAAATCCAAATTCCTGGCAGCAGGTGCTGCAGAACGGGATCAAGATGACCAATGAGCCGCCTTCCGGCCTGCGCGCCAACCTGCGCTGCCGCTCAGGGGGGCTGGAGTGGTGTAGGGTTTAGGGTTTAGGGTTTAGGGTTTAGGGTTTAGGGTTTAGGGTTTAGGGTTTAGGGAGCTTAAAGTCTTAGCGTCTGGCCCCAAGCCCCCAAAGCTACCCAAAGAGCCGAAGCCCTAAACCCTGAACCCTGTAGCTTCAAGCCCATTGGGGCCTAAACCCTAAACCCCACAACCCAAACCCTAAACCCTAAACCCTAAACCCTATATCCTCAGCCTCAGGCTTCGTTCCTACAGCTCGGTCACAGACCGGCTCTTTGAGGAGTCGGAGAAGCCAGGGGTGACGGCCTCAATCATCCAAGGGTTAGGGGGTTAGGGTTTGGGGTTTAGGGATAAAGGGTGAGGGTTTAGGGCTTAGGTTTAGAGAGGGGTGAGGGGTTCGGGCTTAGGGTTTATGGTTTAAGGGGGGGAGGCGGGGAGGGCGAGGAGGGGAAGGGGGCCGAGCGGGTCATTTCAAAGACCCCAAGTGGAAAGAAACTTTTCTGCAGACAGATCTGCGCCTCCCTGAATGAAAGCCTTCCACCCGTTGCCAAACATCAACGCTTTCCCACAAGGATCTCGAGTTGCCCCAAACCTTCCCTACTCAGCACCAGGCAGGGCGCTTGACCCTTTTCCCGAAACCCTAAACACTGAACTAAACACGAAACTGTCCCCTACACCTTAAGACCGAAACCTAAACCCTAAACCTGAAACCCTAAACCCTGAACCCATTTTCCCCTAAACCCTCCACCCTTGTGCCTAAAGCACATGAAGCCCTAAACCCTAAACCCTAAAGCAGCCTAAAGCAGCCCCGATGGAGACCAGGTCTTCAAGACCCTTTTGTTCGGCTTCTGCTTCTTTCACGCTGTAGTCCAGGACAGCTTCGTTCTGAGTTTTCCCGGCTTTCTTAGGGTTGAGGGTTTAGGGTGTGGGGTGTAGGGTTTAGGGTTTAGGGTTTAGGGTTTAGGGTTTAGGGTTTAGGGTTTAGGGTTTAGAGGTGATTTCGGGCCTGCGTCTTTGCTCTTGACTCTTTGTTGTGAGGTTGCTTTTGAGGTTGCGGGGCGTTTACACCTGTACGTACCCAACTTGACCCTTAAACCCTTGAGACACAGAAGCCTGAACCCCAACACCCAGAACTGAACCCCAAAACCCCAAACCCTAAACCCTAAACCCCATGCTGAACCCTAAACCCTAAAGCCTAAGCCCTGAACTCCTATGCCCGTATAAGGGGGCAAACGTTCTCGAGGATCGGCGAAAGTTCGGCCCTATCGGCTGGAACATCCCCTACGGCTTCACGCCGGAGGTTCCGCAAGCGAGTAGGATTTAGGGTTGAGGGTTTAGGGCTTAGGGTTTAGAGGGTTTTTTGTTGAGGGCTCAGGGAAACGCAAAGCTAGAAGTGTTCCGGCGCATCTTTGCGTCAACTCCATTGAGCAAGCACCAGAATCCCCAGCCATTCAAGTAAGCAAGGGGTGGACACGAAGCCCAAAACCCTGCAAAGCGATGGGAACACCCTGAAAAGCGACACCCCTAAGTCGATGATGTGTTTTGGTGGGCTTTAGGGTTTAGGGTTTAGGGTATAACCTTGAATTTTCCCAAAGCGACACCTTCAGACATCAAGCGTGGATAACTGATGCTAAAGCCCTGTAAAGCGATTGGAACACTTGAAAAGCGACACCCCTCATGTTACGTCCATTAGTGCCACCCACCGGTTTTGGCAGTCGCTCACTTGCACCCAACTTAAGGATCACCCCCAGCTGGACCCTGAAAGCTCCCGCGATACCATCTTTTTTTGATTTGTAATTTGCAGCCCTCCACATACTTGGTATCCGCACCATCACAACTAATCGGAGAGCCTAGGCATCAACAGCCCTTAGCTTCATTGGTCCATGATTTCATTTTTAAAGTGTTGTTGGTTCGCTTAATTTCAATGAGCATGCGACGTTCCCTGTCGCACTCATGCATGTCGTGGGAGGACCTGGCAGTGTGTCGCCAGCAGCTGATGCTCTTCGTCAACAAGTACAAGGACCTTGCCCACACGCAGTATAGCTCTGCAACTGGACCCTGCATGCCTATGAATCTCACCCCTGCCTCATAAGCGTTGCGTTCATGCGTTTGCAAACTTGTACTAAACCCTAAACCCTAAACCCTAAACCCTAAACCCTAAACCCTAAACCCTAAACCCTAAACCCTAAACCCTAAACCCTTTTCTAAGAGTGCTTGACTGAGAAGGACGTGCCGTACAAAGTCCTCAACTTCCTGGGGGCCCAGATCAACTACGGCGGTCGCGTCACCGATGACAAAGACAAGCTGCTCATCTCCACGCGCTTCTGGCCGAATTTTCAGTTTTTCCCTGAAACCATGTCGCTCTGGCTGCCAAGTTGTGCAGCCTTGTACTTTGCGTGGCTTGGGGAAACCCTAAACCCGAAACCCGAAAAAACCGAAAAACCCGAAACCCTCAACCCTAAACCCTAAACCCTAAATCCCAAACCCCAAAGCCTAAACCCTAAACCCTAGTGCCTCCTGGCTGTTTTGCCAGGATCCTGGCCACGTACATCTGCCCAGAAGCCGTCGACGGACGGGAGCAGTACAAGTGACACCCCTTCACGGCTTTACTGCCAGGGTTTAGGGTTTAGGGTTTAGGCTTAGAGGGTTTAGGGTTTAGGGTTTAGGGTTTAGGGTTTATATTTGCTTAAGAACCCCCAACACAAGAGTATAAATTTGAAGCCCTATATATTGCCCTTATGAGGAATAAAGTCTTTTTTTGGGGGGGTGGGGGCTCTTAAGCAAATAGTAGAAGAAGAGTCCGTCTTCTTTGTTCTTCGGGGGGGGGGGGGGGGGGGAAGGGGTTCAGGGTTTGGGTTTAGGGGTTGGGGCTTATAAGTTTAGGGTCTCGGTTTACAAGATTAGGGTTTAGGGTTTAGGGTTTAGGGTTTAGGGTTAGCCTTTTTCTCACTCCACTTGTTCACTCATTCGACGACGGTCCGAATCGGAGCACCAGCCTGTAGTTCTAGCGACGCAGGGTTCCCATTCCGGGGCGCTTGCTTCTTGTTCTCTAAGCCCTAAGCCCTAAGCCCTAAGCCCTAAACCCTAAACCCTAAACCGCAAGGCTAACATGGTGCTTGATTTAACCTCCCCCCCCCCCCCCCCTTCACCAAAAAGGTTAATATTCTCTACTCAGAAACCCTATCTATGCCAGTGAACGAAAAAACTTAATATTCTCTACTCAGAAACCCTAACTAAGCCAGTGAGTCGTCGGTAGAGAAGTGGAGGTACTCTGCCAGCGGCCTGTACTTTGCCCCCTCCTCGGACACCGTCGAGGACATCGGTTGGGTTCGGCTCTGCATCCTACAAGGTTTATTTTTTTTGTTTGTTTTAATGTTTTGGGTTTAGGGTTTATAGGGTTGAGGGTGTAGGGGTGTTAGGATTTAGCTCTTAGGGTAGACCCCCCTTAAAGTGTACGTCTCAGCTACTTTAAGGAGTTGCGCAGGCCTCAAAGACACGAGTGTCCAACCGCGGGAGCAGCTGATAGGGCTCATATAGGTATATATATATATATGTATATGTATATACACGGCAAATAGCACAATAAATCACGATATAACGTAATATAATCTCATATGATATGATATCTTATCAAATAGAGTCGGACAACAGAATATAGCACATTATTTATATATATATATATATATATATATATTTCTGGAACATAAACCCTGAATCGAAAAGTAGTTCCATGGTCCCTGAATATGGTCCCTTAACTTGTGTTTATTAAAGAATCCTGAAGTATGGGCCCCTGGGTTTCCTTAAGGGGTATATAAGGGGTGCAGAAAGGGGTCCCCGTTTAAGCGCCCACAGCAAGGGACCCCTAAACTCTGACATGGCTGGGGGATCCTTCGGATCCTTCGTGCAGGACTTTGTCGAACACATCCGAAGCTTGCCGCCAGGAGCTCAGTGGAGTGGACGGCGTAGCTCAAGGGGTTAGAAGACTCGTTGTACCCCGAAGGTTCTGCCCGTAAAGGGTTTAGGGTTTAGGGTTTAGGGTTCAGGGTTTAGGGTTTAGGGTTTAGGGTTGCTATCAGTACTTTCGTGTTTTTTTTTGATTTGTGTTTGAGGCTCGGGGAAATGCATGGTTTTAGGACAATGTTGCAATGAAGGGGGACGAGTTCGCGCTTCATGGTTTCAGGTCTACGGTAGCCCTATGAATCCTGAGCTCTACACCTTGTGTTTTAGATTTTCTGGTGCCCTTCAAGCACTGCGTGACCGCCCAAACCGTAAACCCTAAACCCTAAACTCTAAACCCTAAACCCCCAAGACCTGAAACGCCCTAAGCTGTGGTGAGGCTGTACCCGATGCCCGAAGCTTTCGGCCTGCATGACAACTGCAGCTTGGCTGGTCTTTCGGGTACAGAGTTTAGGGTTTAGGGTTTAGGGTTTAGGGTTTAGGGTTTAGGGTTTAGGCTCAGGGGTTTTGGAGGCTTGGGGCCTAGCGTGGGCAGATCTCTGTGCATCATAAGCCTCTTCTGCGCTTCCGATTATCATTCGGAGCCGCAACCCCCCCCCCCCCAAACAAGGAGCCAACACTCAGATGATATGCTTTTTCTTAGGGTGGTAAGAAAGTTGTTGAAGGATGGGGGATGGTTTAGGGTTGCCACGGTACCTTTCAACTCATGGATGGTGGTGCGAGTCACTGTTGATGAGAGACTAGGGGGGGGGGGCGTGGGGGCCGGGGGTGTTTCCTAATTGATGCCCAAAACCTATAGCCGAAGAACCACCCCCTCTACCCCAAGCCCGAAACCCCCAAAACCCCAAACCCTTGTCCAAGCTCCAAGCCCCGCTCTGTGCCCCAAACCTAAGTCTTAATCCCTAAACCCAGTTTTAAAAAACATAGTCACAGAGTCACAGCACCCACGAACTGAACCCCTAAGCCCAAGCATCACCAACAACAAGTCGAGGTTTAGGGTTGAGGGTTGAGGGTTTTGGGTTGAGGGTTGAGGGGTGCAGGATTCAGGGATTCAGGGATTCAGGGTTTCAGGGATTCAGGGATTCGGGGCAACTTGACTTGCCAAAACCTTGCGGTTCAGGGTTTAGGGTTTAGGGATTAGGGTTAGGGGTTTAGGGTTTAGGGGGTAGGGAGGGGGATTGCCCGAAGCCCGAAACCGTTGGAGGTAACATCACCTGTGCCCAGGACGAGGCCTGTGTTCGTCCTGCTTGCACTTGAGGTTTAGGCTGTCCCTACACCCTAAACTCTAAACCCTAAACCCTATAACCTATAACCCTAGTCCCTAGACCCTAGGGTAAACGCTTAAATCCTAGGTTTCTCAAGGCCTGGCAGGTTGGTTTCCCCAAAAATCTGAACCTCTTGCCATTATGTGGAGTCCTGGTGTCTTGTTTAGGGTTTGTATTACTTGTTCTCTGGTGAGTCCATATGTGGTTCCATATAGATACTGATGAGTGTACATACGGTGTGTCCTTTTTCAGGGTACTGGAAGTCAAAGACGTTCCTCCCTCCGTTCCTTAGAGATTTTGCCGTCACTTGAAAGGCCCCATGAACCTGAGATGCTTGCAATTGAGTCTTCTTCGGGGCTGTCACTGTTAACCCCAAAGCCTAAACCCTAAGCCAAACCCTAAACCCCAAACCTTAAACCTTAACCCCTAAACCCTAAACCCTAAATCCTAAACCCTAAGCCCTAAACCCTAAACCCTAAACCCTAAACCCTAATTAAACCCCTAACTCCAAGCATCATGGTGGGCTTTGGCCTTGTTCGGGTTCCAGGGTTGTAGGGTTTGGGACGCAAAGCCCGCAAGGCCGCAGCGCCGGAAGTTGCTCCTGAACCCAACAACCCTCATTCACAAACCCCAAACCCTAAACCCCAAACCTCAAACCCTAAACCCTAAACCCTGAAGCCCTGAACCCTATAAAGCCTAAACCCTAAACCCCAAACCCTGAACCCAACCGCAAGGCTTTCAAGCTCCTCCTGGGCATGCAGAGCATGGTCTCCTCCGGAGGGGGCGGCGGGGACGGCAAGTCCGCCGACGATGCCGCTGGGCTCGCGACAGATTTGGGGGAATTTCCCAAAGTTTCGGGTACTCGTAATGTTTTTTTGGGGCGAAGAGGGGGGGGGGTTCCTATAAAACTCACACACTTGGGGTTGGGGCGGGGGGTTGGGGTTTAAGCTGATTCAAGGAATGATGTTTTGCTCGAGCTTTCGTTCAATTACAGAGGCTCCAAAAACACGGCATACATAGCAGGGTCTGGTGAGCCTAGGGCCCTTGGGACAGCGATGCTGCCTTAACACCACCTCGTGTGCCGAGGTCATGGACGCCACTGCGGCATCGGTCCAGGACAAGCTGCCGAAGCCGTTCCCGTTCCACTGCTGCAGTCTGCACGTAGTTTAGGTTTTCGGGTGAGGAAACCCTAGTCCCTAAACCCGAAGCCCTAAATTGTAGTTGTAGGGTTAGGGTATTGCTTGGGATATTCTTTCAGGGCTGTTCGTTTAAGGAGGAACATCCCAAGGTATCGCATAGGTTGCTGAGGGAACATGGCTTGTATTCCACAGCTCTTGACAAGTGAACAGGCCGGGAGTGCATAGTCGGCCTCGCACTCTTGCCGAGGAGCCAAAAGGATGACCAAAATTGTCCCGGGTGACTCCTAGGCTTTAGGGCTTTGGGTTCAGGTGTTCGGGTTAGGGTTTAGGGTTAGAGTTTAGGGCTTTAGGTAAAACAGCTACGCCCCCCAAAACCCCCAAACCCCAAACCCGAAGCTACACTGAACACCTCAGGCTGGATGTCTGTGAGCAGAAGTTCCCTACCAGGTATGAGGCTGGGAGAGTAGGCCCTTGAGCAGGGTTTTGGGTTCTGGGTTTGGGGCTCGCGGTTTCGGGGTTTAGGGTTTAGGGGATGTCATGTTGCCCTGCCCCCCCCCCAGGAAAAGTACCCAGAAAGGCCCTCCACCCCTAAATTGAAACTTTCAAGGGCTTGTGGGCCAGTAGTCTTGAAGTTGACCGTGATGTTGATATCATCGTTCTGAGTATGGCTTTCTGCGAGTATATAAAGAAAGGCTATGAGCTTTAAGATGCCCATTGTTGCTTTGTGATGTATTTCGCTTTCCCTTAGGACTTGTTGTTTTCATACTGTATAAAACCCAAGGGAATGTCAAACAGTAGTATGGGCTGAAACGCAGCTCAAAGACGAGAGCAGAGCACAGTGCCACCCCACCGCGGTTCAACCCCACCCTGCGTCCCTAACTCACCTACAAAGTCTGGGTTTAGTAGGGTTTAGGGTTCGGGGTTGAGGGGTTAGTGCTCAGACTTGTTTGAAAAGCAAAGGTTGTCCCAATAGTTCTCTCCACATTTGGTACTCTTGCCTCGAAAGCCCTTCCATGACTTTAGGTACAGTATCAACATAGGACCATGTCGCAGCAACATCACATCATCAGTACAAAATGATCAAGAAGAAACGAAAGAAAATATGCAAGAAACTCAGTTATACATACATACATACACAGACACAGCATTACTACGAATGGCTCAGTTCGCAGCCCACGATTCAAATTAACCTCTAGCAGCAGACTCCCTGGTCCTGCACTCTAAGCCCTTCTACATCCGAAGCCCTAAGCCCTACGAAGCCCTAAGCCCTAATCCCTACGAAGCCTCTAAGCCCCTTAGGCCCTCAAAGTCCCCTTACCCGGAGGAATCCATGAACACTGTCGTCAAGCAGGAGTGCCTCCGCCCCGCACCCGGATTTGCGGAGGGTTTAGGGTTTAGGGGTTAGGGTTTAGGGTTTAGGGTTTAGGGTTTAGGGTTTAGGGTTTACTGGACTTGCAGGTGTGTGGGTGAGAGAGTTGAAGATTGTGAGTGCAAGGGCATTCGAACTTTGATTGTTTGATTTACTGCTTCAGGGGCTTTAGGGATTGCCATGTTGCCATGCCAGCCCCTGTGCCCAACGCCAAGAGTTCAATCTTGAGGGGTCCACTAGAGTTCCTTGAAGTGGTCTTTTGTGATGAGCTGAGGCTACAACAAGCTGCTCACCACCATGGACAGCTCGCTCAAGGCTTGGGGTTAAACCCTAAACCCTAAACCCTAGACCCTAGGGTTCTTGGGCGTTTGGGGACTTTTAGGCCTTCGGGCGGACGATGGCATGCTGGTGCTGCGCGTCTGGCACGTGAGCAGACGTCCCTCCTCATATGCGGTGTGGTGTGACCTAGTGCTTGCAGGGTGATCTATCTTATTCCCCTACAAAAACTTATATATAGTCCCTGCATATTTAAGCAACGCCTAAATAATCCCTACAGAACCCCCTAAGGTCCCTCCTTTAGTCTCGTGAGCACACAGCTGTGCATTGCGATGTGGGGAGTCTCCGGAAGCACCTAGGGTTCAGGGTTTAGAGTTTAGGGTTTAGGGTTTAGGGTTTAGGGTTTAGGGAAACCGAACCCGAAAAGAGTCGAAGCCCAAGAGAGCCCCTAACCTTCTCGGCTGTTGCTCAGGCATTCCGTCAGGCCATCAAGGGCCTGATCGCGCGAGGCCTAGGAGTCGGGTTTAGGGTTTAGGATTTAAAGTTCTGGGTTTTAGGTTTTGGGTTTAGGGTTTCGGGTTTAGAGTTTCGGGCTTAGGGCTGCAGAAGGGCCTGGTACTCAGGGATTGAATTGCTACATGATGAACCCGGGGTGAGCCTGCCCAGCTTCCCCTATCCAGACCCCTGAAAGGATCCAAAAAATAGAGCCCCAAAAAAGAGCACCCTATTTATACGACAATTGGGTCATTCTTAGGAACCCTAAACCCTAAACCCTAAACCATCATTCATAGGAACCCTGAACGGGATCTACCTTTGTGGATCCTCCCAGGGGTCGGGGTATCTCAGGTGATGACTGCCGAGCTGGAGGAGCTGGGTAAGTCCATCTTCATCAATGAGGCTACGTTCCGGGGGGGGGGGGGGGGGTTGAAACTCTGAACCCTAAACCCTGAACCCTAAACCCTGAACCCTGAACCCTAAACCCTAAACCCTAAACCCTAAACCCGCAGCAATGTAGCAATCATCCTAATACCTGGCCGACGCACCTAACAGGTCAAGTGGGAGCAGGTGAGAGTTGGCCTGATTGGATAGGGGTGGTCCTATAATTACGCTAACCCTGAGGCTCAACATCCGTAGAAGCTCTCATAGTATGCCAGTTAGGGCCCAACCGCCCTAAACGCGCTTAGAGCCATCGGGTATCCTAAACCCTATGCCCTAAACTAACCCCCCCCCCTTCAAAAAAAAGTAAGACGTACTCTCTCTCTCTCTCTCTCTCTCTCTCTCTCTCTCTCTCTCTCTCGCTCTGAACGGTCACGGCCCCTCCTATCATCTGCTGGCAGGTGCCCGAGATGTGGTGCGGGCCTCAGAGGATCCTATAATGATGAGGGCTGAGAGCTTTAGGGTATTCGGGTTTAGTGTACCCTACTAGGGTTTAGGGGGCTTGATGGCTTGAGGTTTGAAGGGTTTGGGCAGATCTCCATTGCGCACGGATGCTGTCCGTGTAGTGGTAGAGCTGGACATGGGTCCTGCATGACCGCCACCTGAAATAGTCCCACGCAGAAGATATTGAAATCTCGTTTGGCCGGAACAGGCAACCGGAGTTTTACCTTTGGAATTGACCCAGAAGCTTTTGCAAATGAATGCTGGAAGAAACAAATGTGTTGAAAATATAAGGCCCAAAACCTGAATTGAATCTGTGCAAATAAATTCCCTCGACGGACCTGAACCTTATAAGCCCTTAGTATCCCAAACCTGGAACCCATGCCCTCCAAACATCAACAGTCGTCTTCAGAGGCCTCAATCATGTGGGATTGACCTTCCTAAGCCCTAAACCCTAAACCCTAAATCAAGGTCCCGCAATCTATAGTCTCCTTCGCAAATTATGGTTTTCGTGTACATAGAGCTCGAGGGAGATATATCCGGACGTACTATCATATTGTAGAAGCGGGTCATATTGTTTCATCCCAACATGATCTCTGACTCAAGTTCCTAAGCCCTAAACCTTAAACCCTAAACCCTAAACCCTACACCCGAAACCCTAAACCCCAGAAGACCACATAGTGAACGCTTTCAGTCAAATCTGGTGAGGTCCAAGAAAGGGCCGCTGTCGTTGAAGCCATTGAGCAGCCGGGCTCTTGTTCACACGGCTCTTGGTTTAGGGTTTCGGGTTTAGGGCTTAGGGTTTAGGGTTTCGGGCTTCGGGTATAGGGTTTAGGGTTTAGGGATTCGGGTAGGGTATAGGTTTTAGGGCCAGTGTAGGTTTTCGGGTTTAGGGCTTAGCGCTTAGGGTTTAGGGTTTTTGGTTTTAGGGTTTAGGGTTTAGGGTTTTAGATTTTAGGGTTCAGGGTTTCGGGTTTAGGGTTTAGTTAGGGGGTTCTAGTCTAAGCCCTAAACCCCGAAACTCTAAACCGCATAAACCATAGGTGTTAGGGGATTGGGGGGTGTAGTCGTCCAGGGTTCAACCTGAAACCCTATAACATCCCTATATGCACTGTATACACCCTATAAAGCCGTTTAGAAGCCCTAGGTTAGGTTAGGAACCCTAAACCCTAAACCCTAAACCCTAAACCCTAAACCCTAAACCCTAAACCCTAAACCGCCCCAGAAGCTCTCGAGGTTGGTTTCCTGACATCCTCGCGCGGGTGGCCTTCTTCCAGAACTGGAACGAGCCGCCTGACCTGACAGACCGATGCGGTTCAGGGTTTAGGCTATTCTAGGCTTTGGCTTAACGGTTTAGGGTTGGGTTTTAGGGTTTAGGGTTTAGGGTTTAGGGTCTAGGGTTTAGGGTTTAGGGTTTAGGGCTTAGGGTTTAGGGGTCCTCAAACCCCCCACTGTCGTGGGCATAGTCATCATTCTAGCATTGCAGTGCAACGAACAGCGGTCGCCTATGCACCCTTTGGAGCCGTTGCCGATATAAATTGAGGGTCCGGGGAAGCTTTTACCCTAAACCCTAAACCCTAAACCCTAAACCCTAAACCCTAAACCCTAAACCCTAAACCCTAAACCCTAAACCCTAACCCTAAACCCTAAACTCACCGACTGGAACTTCCCCACTTGCTCTTACCTCGATGGGCCACAGAAGCCTGAAATCCAACAGTATTTGGGGTTGCGGTTTAGGGTGTAGAGATTCACGGTTTCAGGGTATAGTGCGGCCCTATGAACAATAGATTTTCTGCCCAACAGCCTACTTCCCTGAGCCTTAAAAGTAACCCTTCCAACTCAAATTTGAAGCCCCTTGCTGAGTTTGGGTCGTACGCCGCCCGTGCACTGGATCAGCGGAATCTTCTTCCCTCAGGATGCCAACCGAACTCGTTCTTTGTGAGGGTCGTGTGGTTCGGGTTGAGGATTGTATGCCGGCTGTTAGGGTTTTGGGGTTGTAGTGTGTTGGAGGTCAGCCTCTCTGCACCTGAGTTGTACATCGAGTTAAGCATGCTCAAGACTTGAGACCTTCCAAAGGTGAATGCTCAGGGGCCTCCCTGATGCCCCCTTATACGGCACAACAATGCTTCACACTGGGTATGATATGAAGGCATGAGTCCTTCCACACATGGTTTGTGGACATCTACCACAAAATATCAAACACTCGACAGGTAATCCCGACATAAGAAGGCCCGCCATAGAAACGCCCCATGAGGAGTTCCCCTATTGTTGGAAGCCCCCACGACTGAAAGTCCTAGAGCAGTGGCTTCATGGACTGTGGCTGTCATGCGAGCTTGAGGTTTAGAGTTTACTTTGTCTTAGTTGGGTAACATTTTGCATTTTTAAGGGTACTTAAACCCAAGAAGGAATAAGCATTTAATATGATCCCAATCATGAATTAGTTTAGGAGTGCTGCCATCTTTTTGCATCTCTCCAGTCCCCAGTGCGCAGGCCTTCTTCACCGGTGCCATGCAGAACTATGCTCGCAAGCACGGCGAAGAGATCGACCTTTTGTCCTTCTCCCAGAAGGCAGCTACTTTGCACGTGATCTTGGGTGCTTGTAGCTTATGTCGTAGCCAACCCCATGGCGAAAACCTTGTTACGGACAAACTTCAAGTATTGATTACGGCTGAAGACATATGCAGAATCTCGTGTGGATGCTCGACGGAGGTGTGTACCGATCTTGTTTGCAGGAGCGACCTGAGACAGCAACTTGACCCATTGCAGTGCCCGACGAAGCATGAAAATTAAGATGTTCCCCTTTAGTATACAATTCTGACAGTCCTTAGGGATTATCATAGGGGTACTATCTATAAACCCTGTTTAGTATAAGGGGGAACATCCGAACATGAACACTTAATTTGATCCGTGAAATTGCATGCAGGTCATGGACAACATTGTCAATCCGAAAAGGGTCCTGGCCTCGGGCTTGAGACTGACGTGTTAAAAGGGGGCTTATACGAATATAGACCCCGAATCGTAGGATTCCCTTATAATAAGGACCCCAAGAAGGTGAACCTCATTTCGGAAAACCCCCACATGAAAGCTCCGTGGCTCAGCCCTATAAGTGAAGACTCCTCCAGGCATCTGCCGCGCTAGGACGAGTATAGTACCCTTATTCCCTTCCTTTTCGAGCTCGCAGGAAAGGATCCCTGGCCTTTTTTCTCTAAACCCTAAACCCTAAACCCTAAACCCTAAACCCTAAACCCTAAACCCTAGGTTACTAGGCAGCCTCGACCTCGGGTTTGGAGCCGGGTTCAAGAAGGGAGGGCGCACCGCGGAATAAAGTTGGAACCCCCAGCTGCCCAAGGTCTGCTTGGAGGTTCATGGGCACTTTTTAAAGTAGGTTTATTATTTTTATTATTGTTATTTTTATTTTTGTATTTAGTTCTTTATTATTATCATTATTTTCGTTTTTGTTTGCTTTATTTTGTTTATGTAGGGTCGCTGTACTTCAAACCAAAGTCAGGGCACTTAGAACCTATTACATAGAGCCCGTGTGAACCCCGTAAACCCTGTAAACCCTAAACCCTGAACCCTAAGCCCACCCTCTACACAGAATGTTGATTCACTGCCCAGGAGCTCATCGTTCCTCCAGAGGCAGGGTTTTGGGGTTTCAAAGGTGTGTGGGGGTTCAGGGTTTGCGGCTGAAGGGTTCAGAGTTTAAGGTCCAGGTTGCTTGTTAGGGGTGTTTCGGGGCTGTACGGTTGTGTTTGATAGGGCTTCGGGACTCAAGGCTTTGGGGTCATCAAGGTTTTGGGGTCTTAGCGGTTTTGCTTCAGGTTGAAGTAGCACAGCAGCCCTGAATACCAAGGCAATCCCCCTTACTAGTCCCTGAGTGAATCGCACCAGCTACCCTACCCACCCATTTTCTTCAACTAGGCCTAGCCGGCAGCTGCCCCTTTTGAGTGAAGAGTATGTTCCTCCCCAAAATAAGGACGCCAGAACCATTCTTCGTGGTCGTGAGAGGGTCCGCAGTTTGGAGTTGGGCGTAGGAAAACAACCGTAGTTAAAGACAGGTTGGTCGGAACGGAATGCAGCGCTTGCCTTGCGTAGCTGGGATGACTGCGCTGCAAGAAGCCTTAAACTGCAGCCCCAAGCAAGCGCCAGTGGACAAAGCTGTGTCAGGATGGCGTCTACATCTACGGCCTCTTTATGGAAGGCACCCCGATCGGCACATCGTTAGTATGGGAGGGCACGTGGTAATCATCCATTCGCAACCCGTAAACCCTAAACCCGAAACCAGAAACCCTAAACCCTAAACCCTAAACCCTAACGACCATGCCCTTCAGCGCCCTCCTGAGATTCTGGTTCAAGGGACTGCATGAGCCTGGCTACTTCCATAATAAGCTACCGGTAGCATCATTCGAAAACCCCTGCCTAGTTTTCGATACGAGATCCACAAGCATCCGCTCTGATGTATATTCTACTAGTTGCTTAAGAACCTTCCCCCCCCAAAAAAGCGCCTTCCATATCAGGGCAATTGTCGTCTTTTATTTTCGGAGGGGGGGGGGGTTCTGAAGCAAATCGTAGTATTCAGCCACCCTTCAGAGTCAGCTCACGAGCTCTGGGCGCAGGAGCGCGCTGGGACAATAGCACCCACATGGCGCCATCCCCGGGAGCTGCCAGCATGTCTAGGGTTTAGGGTTTATGGTTTAGGGTTTGGGGTTTGGGGTTTGGGGTTTAGGGTTTAGGGTTTAGGGTTCAGGGTTCAGGTTCAGGGTTCAGGGTTCAGGGGTTCAGGGGTTAGGGTTCAGGGTTCAGGGTTCAGGGTTCAGGGTTTAGGGCCTTTGGGGTGTAAAAGGGGGTTTTCGGTCTTGGGCTACCAAACATGACATTAAGAGGCTCCGCACATTGTATCTTGTACCCAGAGAGGGCCCCGGAGTTGGAGCAAACCCTTCTAGGGTGTGTTTCGACCTTGACGGGCGCATAGTCGCGGGTTTGGAATGGCTTTGGGTGTCTGCTGCAATCCCCCTCCCTCGTACTCGAAAGGGAAGACATCCCGCCCTGAGCTGTCGTCCTTGCAGAAACCCAAATCGTTGGCTTTGCATCCCTAAACCCTAAACCCTAAACCCTACACCCTAAACCCTAAAAACACAGCTGGATCGTTCCCACACTTTGGGGGGGGGGGGGGGGTTAGGATTCCGGGGCGCGACGCTTGCCCCCAAAGTAAAAGAAGCCGCTTGGCCACAGGGTTCGACATCTAAACTGAGCTTGGGTTTAGGGTTTAGGGTTTAGGGTTTAGGGTTTAGGGTTTAGGGTTTAGGGTTTAGGGTTTAGGGTTTAGGGTTTAGGGTTTAGGGTTTAGGGTTTTTTGGGTTGCCACATGCCCTCAACCCATTCGAGCCACCCTAAACGGAAGCCCCGAGCCCCAAAGCCCAAGCAAGCCCCTAGAAACCCTAGAAACCTAAACCCTGAACCCGAAACCCCGACCCCTAAACCCTAAGCCCTCAGCCCTAAACCATAAACAAGCCCGAAAAACCCTAAACCCGAAACCCTAAACCCGAAACCCGAAACCCTAAACCCTAAACCCTAAACCCAACTCCTATCCTTGCAGGTGCAAGAGTCGGAGCCCAAAGTGCTCTTCACCGAGCTGCCCTCCTTGTGGTTCTTACCGGTGAAGGACCGACGCAGCACAGCGGCTTAGGGATCTTGAGGGTATATATGTTGGTTGAACCCTATTATACACCCTAAACCCATAAACCCTAAACCCTAAACCCTGAACCCTGATCCCTGGAGCGCAGGGGCAGACGAAGCCCGAGCACCCCAAGCATGCCCAAGTCGCATCACGTCAGGCTTCCATTCGGGTTTAGGGTTTAGGGTTTTGGGATTAGGGTTTAGGGTTTAGGGTTTTAGGGTTCAGCACCCAACGTGCCCAGGATCGCAAGCCGAATCCGAAGGATTACCGATGCCCGACCTACAAGGCTCCAGGGTTTAGGGTTTAGGGTTTAGGGTTTGGTTTAGGGTGTTTAGGTGGTTCATTTTGTCGAGCTCTTGGGGCTTGGGATTCTTCGGATTTTCCGCCCGGATGGACATATTGGCTTGCTTCAAACCCCCCCCCCCCCCCCCCCCCCCCCCCCCCTGCCCGATCATGGTTGCAACGCCTTGCTCGCGCACGTGGACAACTTCAGGTCGTTAGGACAAGCATCGTCGTGAGACAGGTGCCAGATGCGCCCCTAAACCCTAAACCCTAAACCCTAAACCCTAAACCCTAAACCCTAAACCCTAAACCCGCTTGTATGTGTCGGTTCTGAGTCGCATCTGATTGACAGGTCCTTTCTCGCAAAGGGACGCTGCTCACCACCGGGCACTCGACGAACTTTGTGCTCTACCTGGAGCTACCCACAGATAAGGCCCTCAGGATTTAGGGTTTAGGGTTTAGGGTTTAGGGTTTAGGGTTTAGGCTTAGGGATGCACTGCATGTTCGGACTGGGAGGTTGGTATCAAGCAGTGGCACTTCGAATCCCCTAGTTCAACAACCCCAGACACTAAAACCCTAGAACCCTAAAACCCTAAGACTTCAACCTAAACCCCAGCTCCTGACACCCAAGTGACGAGTCCCAAAATCGAAGTCCTTGGATCAGGTTCTCACCACATGCCTTTGTGCCATTTGCAACGAGGGATGCGCCATAGAACTGTCTCCCAGTCTTTTTAAGCCCTATAGGGTTTAGGGTTTAAGGTTGATTAAGAGTTTAGGGTTTAGGGTTTAGGGTTTAGGGCTTTGGGTTTTGGGGTTTAGGGGTTTGCAATACGTATAGCGGAGCATCTTCCTCCGCCCTTTTCTCCGCTCCACTGCTACGCAGGCCGTGGCGAAGTGGATCAAAGCGGGCGTTGCATCCTTCCTCGCCTTGCGCCTTGGCTGAACCGGCCAAGATGGATCATGCTCACGCTCATTTTGTCTGGCCTGCGACCTAAAACCCAAAAAACCCAAAGTTAGGGCTTAAGCTTGATTTGCTTTACCTACACCTCAAACACCCGCAACCCTAAACCCTAAACCCTAAACCCGAAACCCTAAACCGGAAACGCCTGCACGCCCAGGAAGCATTAATTTCAACGAGGCCGACGCGCCGAGTTGCCATAGAGTCCAGTGCGCTCTGTCACGCTTATGCCGTGGCATGGGCGTCCTCGGTTTAGGGTTTAGGGCTTAGGGTTTAGGATGGCTGTATTTCGCGCTTTTTTCATGGGTCGATTACGCTCAAGCCCTGGAGCACGAAGCCGTTTTGGGTTTAGAGTTTAGGGTGGGTTTAGGGTTCCATCCCTGACCACGGCAAAATCATGTTTAAAAGCTTATGTTGCTGCTCGAAGAGCACTCTGCAACAATGCAGTCTGACACACGCCGTTGGCTTTCGGCCACCGCACGCAACCGCCGAACTCCACATCCCTTGAACGTTGAAGTCCGAACACTGCACATGCAATATATTTTACTCTAGTTTGCATCATACTGATATTTTTTAGTACATACTATCTATATATATATATATACATAGAGAGAGAGAGAAAGTAGTACATGATATGCTACTATCCACATTATATAATTTCTTATGTATACAGACATATCTGTATATATATATATATATATATATATATATATATTCATTACATAGTAGCGCGTGGACCATCCCTGACGACGTGTTGTCTGTGTCCATAGTGACCGGTGTGGCTGACCCAAATGCGGTGGGCTCAAAGAACCCAGCCCTTGCGATGGCTTTGTGTACCAATTCCTACACGGCTCTAGGGCTCCTTAGTCTTAAGCAGTGGAGGGTTTAGGGTTTAGGATTTAGGGTTTAGGGGGAGAAACCTGGCCACTCAGCTGTCCTCTGCAGCCACTTTCGAGCTGATTCTACTGGTATCTGACATGGAAGACCTAGGACCAGGAGTAGGCCCTTATTCCCTTTCTAGGGCTGGGGTTCCCTAGTAGCCCCCTTCGAACCAAAAAGGGTACCCTTTTCATTCCTTAGTTACTCTTGGGTCTAGAGACTATGCACACCAGTAGGTGTTGCTCTCAAGACACCAGAATAGCAAGACGCCTACCACTTCGTCTTTGTGACGTGGCACCAATTGGTCCAGTTCGACTTTGTATCCTCACCTTTGTATCCTCACTGTTCCAGCTGCCACCCTGAAACCATGCAAGAATCGCAACAAGACTTCAAACCAGCTGATTTACACTCGGTATTTGGGCCCTTCTCCTGAACTGAACCCTAAACCCTGAACCCTGAACCCGAATCCCTAAACCCTGAACCCTGAACCCTAGTCCCTAAACCCTAAACCCTGAACCCTAAACCCTACACCATTTTTGCTTTGGCCGCCATGAAGTCTTCGCGGCGGGAGGCCATTGGCAAGCGCCAAGCTCAGCTCACAACCACGGGGAGAATGCTCAAGGTTGTGCTAAGGGTTTAGGGTTTAGGGCTTAGGGTTTAGGGTAAGTCTCCCTCATTTGTTCAAGAAATTTGAGGCCATACCAGTATGGATTCGAGAAGCCGCTTCCTGTATGACTCTGCTTGACCTCTTACACGGCCCTAGAAAGTCTCAGCCCCTTGCCCCTTGAAGAGGGGCACCCTTCTGTTCACTCGCAGGCTACTGGGCACCCAATCTACTTCCACCCCCCCCCCCCCCCTATACCTTAAACCCTAAAGCCTGAACCCAAAACCCCAAATCCTAAACCCTGACCCTAAACCCTAAGCCCTGAACTCTGAACCCCAAACCCTGAACCCGGAACCCTGAACCCTGAACCCTGAACCCCAACCCTAAGCCCTCAACCCTAAATCCCAAGAAGGAACACCCAATGAACCAAAACGCCTAAGGTGCCTAATTCCCGCCGGCCACGCCCGGCGGTCTCTGGCGTTGTTGCGTCGCAGGGGCTGCCTCAGGCCAAGGTTTAGGGTTTAGGGTTTAGGGTGTAGGGTTTAGGGTTTTGGGTTTTGGGTCTTGGGTTTTGGGTGGGTCCATGTGTCTACATAGTATATACTTGGTCCTCAAAGGGGGCAGGCCTTGGGGTGAGGACGAAGGGGTTTGCGGATGTAGGGTTGTGTATAGGGCTTTCTGTAAGCTTTGGCTTCCATAGATGTTCATAATTAGGGGTTCTGTTAGGGTTCTATTAGAGTTCTATTGGGGTTCATAATCAGGGTTCCATCAGGGTTCTATTAGGGTTCATAATTAGGGTTCAAAATTCGGGTTCTAATAGGGTTCATAGTTTGGGTTCTATGGGGTGTTGTAGGCCAGCATGCGGCTGGAGATGCAGGCTATGCATCGCATCGGCTGCTACTTGGAGATGCTTTTTCACAGGGTTTTAAGGGCCGTCCTCGAGGGGGGTTTAGGGTTTAGGGTTTGGGGTTTAGGGTTTAGGGAAGCTCCTACAGCTGAGAAGGAAGACGGTCAGCACTGGAGCAGCTCCTTCGCGTGAAGAAGCGGAGAATTTCTGACTTCGCAGAATTGAGATAGTTGAGACCTCTGCGTACAGCACTGCTCCGCCGTCGAAATGCTGCCTTTTACAAGTGAGTTCTAGTAATAACAGATAAAAATCCAAGAACACCAGCAACTATACCAAATATGAAATAAAGAGTACCGATGTTGTAGGAATGCGAGCTGCCTCTGCCACAGGCCGCACAAGAAACGTCCATGGCGGTGCGAGATGTGTCGCATCCTCAGAGGCCTGTTTCTTCAATGCCCTGAGCCCCCCCCCCCCCCCCCCCCACGGTTTAGGGTTTAGGGTTTAGGGTTTGGGGTTTAGGGTTTAGGGTACCTGCTCCTTCCCCCAGTGGTCTCCCCACAACCCCCCCCCCCCCCCGAGCCGGTTGGGTGGTTAAGTTTAGGGTTAAGAGTTTGTAGTTTTGGGGTTTAGGGTCTCAGGTTTTAGGGTATTAGAGTTGCCTCTACCGTTCGGTGTTGAAATTGCTCCAGAGGGTGGGGGGGGGGGGGGGTGGGCAGAACTGGGGGTGGGGATACGACAGAGGACGGGGGGTGTTGGGGGGGGGCTTCTGAGGAAGCACTTTGGAAGCAGAAATGGGGGAACCTCAAACCTTTTGGTCGACAAACCCGATATCTGTGCACCTGTTTAGGTTTACAAAAAAAATTCCCGAAACCCTAAACTCCAAACCCTAATTACCCATTTTCTGTGTACATGTTTGGGTTTAGTAACCCTAAACCCTAAACCCTAAGCCCTAAACCCTAAACCCTAAACCCTATTTCGTGGGGCTTAGGGGAGAGCTCCATTCCAATAAGGCCAGCAACGCCGTCGAATCGGACGCTGGTGGCACCCACCTCATGTGGATTGGTTCTGGGTCTAGAGTTTAGGGTTTAGGGTTTAGGGTTTAGGGTTTAGGGTTTAGGGTTTAGGGTTTAGGGTTTAGGGTTTAGGGTTTAGGGTTTAGGGTTTAGGGGTTAGGGTTTAGGGTTTAGGGTTTAGGGTTTAGGGTTTAGGGTTTAGGGTTTAGGGTTTAGGGTTTAGGGTTTAGGGTTTAGGGTTTAGGGTTTAGGGTTTAGGGTTTTAGTTTAGGGTTTAGGGTTTAGGGTCTAGGCTGAGGGGTCCAACACATTTACCCCTATAGGCTCAAAATAGCCCAAAAACCTTATATCAGAAGGCCTTTGGGCCCGAAGACCGTAAAATGAGAGTCTTTCGGGCCTTAGGGTAAGGAATAAGAATCCTCCCTTGTGTAGGTGCTCATTGCGTCATGGGTCACGTCTTGTGTTTTTCACGGCGGTATGGGAGTCATTGACACGCGTGCGAGGCAGGTGCAGGATTAAGCCGTAAAAGGTGATCCGGCAGCTAAAACTGGCTAATTCCCAGCAGGGAATGAGGGAATGAGGGCCCTATACACTCCCTTAAAGGGTACAGGTAGGGCCCTCATTCCCTCATTCCCTCTAAGAACCAGGGGGAGAAGCCCACACATATTCTGATAACTTGCATCTTGTCTCGATTCATGCCCCAAAACCTTCAGACCCTTAACCCTATCATCATACTTGCCCTCAACCCGATCTGCTCTAGTGTCTCTTTCTCCTGAACCCTCATGCGCAAACCCTCACTCCCCTGTACTCGCAAGTCTACCAACCCCCAAACCCTAAACTTGCCTTAAACCCTGAACCCTGAACCCTAAACCCTAAACCCTAAACCCTGAACCCTAAACCCTAAACCCTAAACCCTAAACCCTAAACCCTGAACCCTAAACCCTAAACCCTAAACCCTAAACCCTAAAACCCTAAAACCCTAAAACCCTAAAACCTAAAACCTAACCTAAGCGCCAGGCAGTTAAGAGTTCATAGGTTCGAGGGGCCCATCACCCCACAAAAGCGCTATCGGAACAGAAGAAAAGAAGCAACATGAACCCCTCAACCCTAAACCCTCTAAGCCCCCAAGCCCTACAAACCCTAAACGCCCTATATGCCCTGTAAGCGCCCTATAAGCCTGGTGAGGCCTAGTAACCCAACTCTTTCCCTGTCCCCGTGCGTATGCAACAAAGGCGTCCGCCCAAGCAGCTGCGGCAAGGTAAGGGGAGGGCGCAGGTTAGGGCTTAGGGAAACAGGTTTCGTTGGCATATTTAGGCCTATTGCTGAGTTGTTTCAGACATTCAGTTTTGAGGGTTTAGGAGGTCAGGATATCGGGTTGACGTCTAGGACGGTTTAGTCGGGCTTTATCTTCTTCCTGCCCCTTCACTCCTTCGATCTCGTGTTCTCTCAAGGCTCACTCTTTCGCTCTCTCTCTCTCTCTCTCTCTCTCTCTGTCTCTTTCTCTTTCTTTCTCTTTTTCCTTGCGTTCTCTGGCTCTCTCTTTTGGTGCCCTCTTCTTTCGTCGGCTCTTTGCGTTTGCTGTTGAACCTGTGTTGGTATGTTTCTCTCTGAGATTACTTACCCCTGATTTCGTCTGGTTCTCCATCCGTTACAGGTTATCAGTTGTCTCTTTCTATCTCGGTCTCTCTCGCTCTCTCATTTCTAGCTTGGTCTCATTGAACTTGTGTGTCTCGTATTCAGCCTGGGTCCGAGTGTTTGCCTGTCAGTACGCTGAGGGGTGTCACAGTGCTAGCGCAGTGCCAGCATTCATAGATGGTTGTCAACCGC